CCGTCACCCCTACCCCTCTCCATATGCTAGCTTTCCTGCCCTCTCTCCATTTATTTGGGCTCTCCAACCACACACCAACCAACGAGCCTCCCCCAATTTGCTCTGCTCAGACCATGCTCAATTTCCTACTATAACAACTTGGGCACGTGGGCCACCAGTTGTTCCAGTGCTTTAGGGCATGGGACACGAGGGCTCTGGGCTGCTTTATCCCTGCACCCCTCAGGTAGACTTACCCCGTGGTCTGCCACCATCCCAAGCACTCGTAGTTTTGTTAGGAGTCCCCAGCCACTGCCACCCAAACCCTCCAGGCCATGCCTATCTGTGCCGTGTAACTGCACGCTTGCTCTGCTGGGGACGTGGGTTGGCTCCTGAGCTGGGTTACGTGAGGATCTGCTGCCCTTCGATCAAGCAGATGGTTGCCTGAGCTGATGAAGCAGCGCAGGCAAATCTGCTGCTCTGAACCTCGCCCCCTGTCCACAATATGTGGACAGCAGCATTTGCCCTATAACGGATGTAACACAAAATTAATAAACATAAAAAAATTGCAAGGCACTCTGGTACATTGTAAGAAAGACCAGTAAGCTGTACAAATTTACAAAGTAACTTGCCAGGAGACAAAATTCAACCTCAAGCTGTGACCTTTAAAAATATAAGAACACAAACCCACCAGCAAAACAGACGGACATATTCCTTGCAAACTCATGTAATCAAACAAGCATATTTTTGCTGCAGTCCTTCACTCATTCTTTCTGGTATTTGTCTGCCAACATTTCTTGGGTTTTTATTTACCTCTCTGATGTAAGTTCAGATTTCTTTATTTCATATAGAGTTCCTATGAACTACTGTGATCACAGTAAAGAGGATTAGCAGAAAGAAGCAGCAACAGCACTCACAACCTCATCAGAAGTGCACAACCTCAAGAAATAACATCATTAAAATGTCACTATCTTGACTGTAATTACACACAGTTCTCAAGATCACATGCTTACCCAGATTATTGTGTGCTGGAGACATAGGGTTTGGTGATAAATTTGGAGAACCTGAAAATCAAGACATTATTATTAGTAGTATGGCATCCACACAAAGAAAAACACTTGCACAAAATCTTCAGTGCTGCCCAGGCTTGTTGGAGGGATAACCCACTTCTCGCTTAAGTCTTGTTTTGTGACACCAGCACCTTCTCTGACATTGATTACTCTTTACATGAGCTTCCAAATGCTATTACTTATGATAGCAACTTGCTACATCTGCAATACTGCTAAGCATCTTCATAATGCATTCACTTAAGTGTAACCCATTAATTTTCAAAACTGAGCATGCAGCTGTCTGTTTTACTTTCCCTTGCAGTTATCAAAACTCCAGGTACCATCAGCTACAGTCAAACCCAGTTAGCTGGGCTTTTGAGAGCTTGATTTTACATGGCTAGGCACAAAACATACTCACTTGTAAGTCAAAAACGTACCACATTATTAGGGATAATATCAACCAATCTTAGTGGTTTGGGGACAATGGAGTATTGGATCAAGCTAGACAGATCTGACCAAACAACTGGTAGACTTTTACCCCCAATCATTTCAATTTGGTCCAAAAATTCTGTGCGTACATTTCAAATATCTGCACTTGGATGTCCAGAGCAACTTCCACAGTCTCTGGATACCACATGGATGCAGAGAAGTGGTACAGCCCATTTTCTCTTTTCCTCTCACACCGAGTTTGGCTGGTTTCTTTAAAATGTGTTTTTTTCTATAAAGAGGGAAGTCTATGACATCTGAAGGAAGGGATATAGCATTTGAACATAAATTGGGTATTTATAGCATCTTCCAGACCAATCCTGTTCCAGTCTGCTTTCCCAAAAAGCCATACATACATTCCACATGTCAACCACGTTACCAGTAATTGTATGCACTAAAATGGTTTGTGTCAATAGGCTTATGTTTGATGTAGACAGACAAACCCACACTGCCTTCCTCCATCTGTATAACTGCGGTGAAAGACTGTAAATCAGTCATCCCTCTTTTAGTATCCCACGTATGCTCTACGGCTGAAGCCATGCACAGAACCTGAGATATTTGTGTGCAGTATTTGCATTAATTAGGTTCTCCATGTCTGTCTTTATGTGAGTGCCATGTATTTGCATATCCCTCTTGTAAAGCATCAGGCCTTCTAACCAAGGACGTGTTTTTGCTTTTCAAGCACAAGTTCTATGAATTCAGAGTCTGATTCAGTGGTTCTTACTCACCAGCAGTGACACCACTCAGATCAACAAGATGCCCTAAACAGTTACTCCCAGAAAGATGAGACCTGCATGTTTAATTTTAAAGCACTGATACGGGTTAGCATGAACACTAAGGCTGCTCATTCTAAACCTGGTTACTTGTTTTCTTGGCAATGAGAGAGAACCTAGATTTTCAACTTTCTTTGGGATATATCCACTAAATAATAAATCCATTTAAAAATGGATCTCCTATTGGTCATTTCAAATATAGTTAAACTGGACATTTCAGTATGCAAACAACATCAGAAAAATGCCTCTGCAGAAAGTGCCAGCTACGTGCGAAATTTTCACGTGCATACAGATGCATGGACGCAAATACAACACAAACTATCATCCTTAGATGTGTCTCCATTGTTTCAGGTTCCTGCTTAGTACTGTCTAACGATGGATGTTGGGGAGAACAGGAACATGCTGTACCTTTCACCAGCAGCTCTAAAACATACAACCCTGTGCTTTACATGAGATGTCAGGCTACATTTGCACTCCTGCAGGGATAAAATACCTCAAACCACCATCTGATCTTCAGTGCCCCAAAGAAAAACTTTAAAAGAGTCTTATATATGACCTAGAAAGCTGCAGTGAATGGCAAAAGATGACTTACCTGCATCCATGCTGGGGTTCATCTGGTGGTCACTAGTTTCTCCATCCTCACTCAAATAGCCTGGAGGAGGTGTCTCTAGAAGCACAAAATGATCATACTGTCATTGCAACTGAAGGCAAAGTCTGGATTTTAGACACCAAAAACGTTTACTTTGTTATTCACAAGGTGCTAAATTTCTTTTTTATTACTCTTCTTCCTCAAGCTGCTGAACGGAAGAGCTGGTAGAACCAGGATGATAGTCATAGCATATTTGTGAACAACAGAGGAGGGGGAAACAAAAAAAATCTGGATTTTCAGTCCCATAAAACTTTAAGCTGTGTAGACGGTTTTCTGTCCACATATTTTTCCTCTCCTGGTATGCAGCTGCATAGCTTGTCCATGCAAATAAGGTGTAAATTGCTTGTAAGAGAGATACATAAATAGAAGGGCTCAATTCCATCAGAAATTTAGAGAGTTTTACTCAAATTAAAATGGCTGAATTTCATGCAAATCTAAACTAGCTAAGGGAACATTCCGCTTTAGATTTCACAATAAACTGCGTACGTACCACTGAAGGGAAGAGGTGAGTTTAAAGAAAACAAAACAAAACTATAAACAGCACTGTTGTGTGTCTACATTTACAGCTTTCATCTATTTCTGTATAGGTTCCCACTCCTTAGCTTCATAGTAACGATGGAAAGAAAGACTTTCCAGTCATCCAGCTTGGCATACACAGACACGATTCACTGTGCAATATGACCCTTTTCCCTCTGCTCCTCTGTATGGAAGATATACAGTACCTGGAATGTAGTTGCTCTGTGGCTCGATACCTGCTGGGAAGTTAGTGTTCTCTGGAATAGAATGACTATAATCGTCTAACGGCGGGAACTCAGCTGGGATCTCTGTGTGCCGAGGCACCAGCACTGGAGGTAACACTGCACGAATGGAAAGGGAAAAAGAAAATAGAACAGCAAGGTTAACAGCTTTAAAATAAAATGACTGAAACCCTAGAAAATGAAGAGAAACCAGTTTGGAGTAACACCCTTAAATACGTGCAACACCAAAGTCACTAATTAAGGGACACAATTTGATACTTGCTTCTGAAATAACAGCAGCAGTTAAAGATGCTATTCTTAACATACCTCAGCTGGGGACGGGATACGTGCTTATCTGAACACACCTAGTCTGTCTGCCCCTTCTAAGGCAAAGAAACAGGTCTTCTTGAAAAACCATTAAAGAGAAGTTATACCACATGATTCAAAAGGAATAAATTTCACATAAAATGGAACAGCGAGGTAGGATTAGCATAAACATCCAGACCGGTTCTGCAGATTTGTACTGACATGCAGCAGAACTATCTGCAGTTCCAGATGAAAGTCTCTTTCAGAGGCAGGAGGAGACTTCAGAACAGGAAGTTCAGTTGTGTTGGGAGCTATTCTTAGATACATTTCAACTTAATAGTAAGTTTATCCTTAATTTAATACCAATAATTAGTGATGCACAGAATACTGCCATAGTTCATACTTGTATCTGCTATGTGTATGAGTTGTTTACGTGCACACAATGCCACATTAGGAACCTGGCAACAATGCAGCTGCTCGACTTGGATTTTGTCGATTTAAAATGATATTTCCCCCCTGAGTGCAGATTCATAAATTATTCTACTGCATACAGTAAGAGATTATCATCAATAATAGATACACTTTGGTTTTAAAACCCTATGCCTGCTGCTTTATTCAATTTTGAAATGCACTTATAAATCCCTTATGCTGGTACCGAGAAGCTGAGGTATCCACACATAGGGTCAGCAGTACCTGGGGTTTCCACTCTTTGGTAATGATAAGGATTCACACAGACTTCATCCTTCTTCATGTTAAAGGCATACTCGCACATCTCCATGGCACGCAACTCATGGTGGCTATGAAGGTCCGGCCACCGCCACAGCCGGCAGTAGATCACATGGGGAAGACCTTTCCGGTGAGACACTTGCAGCCGGCCATCTAATGATCTGCAGTCAGAACATAAGACGACAGCAATTTAGACTGGCATTCATACGTGTGTAGCACTGACCACATCCCATCAAACGCTACGCAGGGGAACCTCATGTGAAGACTGCAGACTTCCGCAGGAGGCTCAAAGCACAGGCTGCCCAGCCAGCTCGGTATCCTGACACAACCCCAAAAGGTGCTAGCCACCAAAACCCGCTGAGACAGCGCTGCAAGGAGGCATTCCGGTCCCAGTCTTCAGGCCAAGAAGTTATCTCTGAAAACTGTAAAATATTTGTTTTATATAGCAGCCCTGCTCGGGATTTATTAGTTTTCTGAAGAGAGGTTAATTTGGAGGCAGAGACAAGAGCTGCAGCAAGTGAGAATACATCGCTTTAGTGGTACTTCTTAAGCATTTATGTGTGTCCTAACGAACACGCCATTTGCACAGCTCTCAACAATTTATGCTGTGCATGTAAAGGTATTGCATCTTAAAATATGTGCTAATAAAACTGGACTTTTAAACTAGAGACACATGAATTTCGACTGTGACAAAATCATCCAAAATTGATATAGATACCTTTTCTTTAAAGCATTCACGAACATTACAAACAAGCAAGGCTTCCAGTTTCATTTTTGCAAATTGCAGCGTGAAAGCAAAAAATTGTTGTTTTCAGCATTGCTTACTTTTGGTTTTACATCTAGCCTGTGTCTCCTCCAACTCATTTTTCACCTAATCCTACCCTCACCCCTGAATAGCCTGTTCCTAGCAAACCTTCCTGGGAAGCAAGACAAGCGTGTCCAAATCCTCGCCAGCAGAGGAAAGGGTTGGAGCAGGGTCTCCTCCATCCTAAACTCCTGAACCAGGGCTCCACTCCCTGAGCCGCTAAACGGGAACTGCCCCCAGGCACTTTCTTTGAAGTCTAACCCTTCATTTCCCTTGCTTTTCTTAATGACTGAAATGAAACACTTCAAGGGGGTTGGTGAAATGAAATATTTCTATTTCTTAATTTGTCAAGGAAAGAAAAAAGAAAGGAAAATTGAAATTTTACTCGGAATTATTTCCCTTGGTTCTTTGTGTTGGCAGCCAATCTAGAAAAACACAACAAAACCAAAACACACAAACAATTATTCAAACAGGGGTTGCGCTAGTCTTGGCTGCCCTAAGAGAGTTTTCCCAAAAGCTTCTCTGGCAGAGCTTGGTAACACGCACACCTCTTGTAAACACTGCTACAATGAGGAAGGCAAAGCGCAACCCGTTCGAGCTATTACTGACAAGCACTGGATTTAGGGGAGCAGGAGAACATGTCATATAACTCTTACGTATGAAATATATAAGGAGGCTATGCCATCACTGAGGGACTTGCTGGTACAGGTTACAAAACATCTAAAACCTGCAAGTATATTACAGCCCTGAAAAATGCACAACGCCCACAGTTATTATTTATAGTAGGTATTTATAGTATGTATTTCTTCATATTGTGCCTGTTATTTATGGGTCACGCATTCCCTTCAGACTGCTCTGTGACAGGGTGACCAACCAGCTGAGTACCTGGCACGTTTTCCAAGTGTGTTCTTATGCCAAGCTCCTTCTGAGGACAGGAAGGCAAAAATCGGTCTTCCCAGGCGGAAGACTCACAAGGAGGGTGCCAGTGTCTAGAACTGGTCTTCTGTGGAAGGTGGGAATCTTGGTATTGATTTCAATGGGGCCAAGGCTTGACTTATATGACCCCAAAACTTATCAGTTTGGAAAAATTTAAAAGACCATATACACCAAAAGTGTGAAAATATTCACTAAACTTAAAAAAAAGGGAGTTGGCTGAAACAAGATAAAAAAAGGACCACTTTTCTGTTCCCCTTTCAAGCACCTTTGCCTGCTTGGAAGGATATCTTGCACCTAAGTGAGGGTAAAGGAGGAAAAAAGGAAGACTTGGAGAGTTTATTCCAAGTATCCCACGGGAGACACAACTGTGGCAAGTGTTCTTAGTGTTCCCAGTCACCATCAGCAGATGGACATCACAGCAGCACAGACAGATTTGGGTTGAGGTTAGCAGCTGAGATGGGGGGACTAACACCAAGTGTGTACAACTTCGGGATTACCTGCAAGGATGGGTCTCTCCCTGTATTTCCCAGGATAGAAGAAAGTCTTTATACCTACAACAAACTTCCCAGCCAGCTGGAGGGTAAAGCGCACTTCTTCCCATCACCCCAGGGTTCTTGGTGAAAGCTATGAAGTCTTGACAAAAGATGAGCCAGTACATCCACGTGCCTGACCCACTCTCTGGATGCAGTGGCCCTCGCCACCCAGGTTAAAGGAGCCCTTCCGCCGACAAAGGTCTCGCAGGAGACAGTGGAGACCGACACCAAGTCACTGTTGTCTGAGCAGTCCCCCAAATGACAGCGGAGACCGACACCAAGTCACTGTTGTCTGAGCAGTCCCCCAAATCCCAGCTTCAGTGGTTCTCTAAACCAAAACCAGCCTAAAAGCGTAACAGCTCTCAATCACTGGTATCACAGCTACTCATTTCTGTCAGCAGAGACTGCACACTGCGGAAAACCTGTTGTGCTTGCTATCCACCACTGCTCATGGCATCAATGCTGTCTATAAGGCAGAAGAGACGGACTTCTCTACAATCTTATCTAAAAAGACTTCAAAATGACAGAGCCATATGTTTTATTTTCAAATATAATAACCTCCCCTTCTTTCTCTTCCCCCCCAATAAGAAGATAAAGTAAAAGAAATTGTATTTTCCAAAGCCCTGGGGGCTAATTACATTTTTATGATTGTGAAATCTCTCCTCAGTCTCTCTGTTAAGGGACTTGGGACAAAACAACATTGTCTGCATGTTCTTGGGAAGAATGTGGCTAAGTAACAAGGCAGCTTTATTTCTTTCTGCTGTCCTGCCTCAAATCCTCAACGAGTATTTTCTCCAAAGCAACAAATAACTGCTATGGCTGACATGGGACACAAGATTAGATGAGCGAACACCGCTCTACTGAAGGCAGCTTTTTGTGTAGATACAGCACTCCAATTACCACAGTCAATTGCCACATCTTTATCAGCTAACCGAACGCTCATTCATAGATGCAAACACTTGGTCAAGCATGAGAACTGTCTTGAGCACCCAGTCATCTCACTTATAAATGACCTAGGCTGCAGTCTTAAGGGCAGCTGCACCAAGCTACGGGACTAGCACGGTCTTGGTGAGATGGTCTTCCTCCCATCCAACACATTCCCTTTCCCACAGTCCTGCCCTATCTCAATCCCTCCCTTTCTTCGTTCGCTCCTGTCCCCTCAGCATCATACCACAAGCTGGCTCAGGTCTCTAACTTGGCAGAAGACTATCCACTTTTTCATGGGTTAGCAGGCTGTAACATTTCTTGGAGGAACCTGAGAAAGCCGAAAGCTGCTGCGAGAGATGAGTTAGTACATACTTTTGTTAGCATGCACCACAGCCAAGGATGCATTTGACTGGCTCACCATCTCTGGAGTCCACAGCCCTCAGGGATGACCCAAGCAGGTGTCTCTCACATCCATGTGCAGAGTAATCAGATAATAAACTCCACAGCACACACAACTTCTACCCTTTCTTGGTCCTGTTCTGAAGCACAGTCTGATCTTGAAGGCTGAAGTATTCCCCAAACCACTTGAGAGCTCAGCACATCCAGGCTTCATTAAAATCAGCAGAATCTAAGCATCAAAATTTCCATTGGATTACTGAATTGTTCCCCCCTCTTGCCTTTCTTTTAACCAGCCCGTGTTGAGCAGATCTCCCTCTACAACTGCCTTGATACATTTATTATTCAGTACTACCTAACAGGATTTCTTTTAAAAATATCCAAGGTTCTTTGGCCAAAAATTCAGTATTGGATGGTTCTCTCCAAAAGCAGCACCTTTTATTTTGGTGGGACACTATGTCTTCAAAATGTCTCTATACTGCATGGTGGGATTCAACAGCAAAAGTTGTAAAGAGCTCTTCTTGTCACAGTGTCGGTGTTTAAACCGAGCAGGTGATGCAGACTCTCGCTGCCAGAGGGTGTTCTCGTACATCTTTCATAACTAGCACGTATCCTGAACTTGCAAGATAAGAACGAGAAAATATTGTGATCCACAAGCCTGTTTTACTAAGGGAAATACGATGAGCTGTAGTTATCACCGCCTGCGAGTGTGAAAGCACGTGGGCTATGAGAGCCTGCGAGATAAAGTAAAAACAAAGCCAGAACACAGCAAGATTGCTGAGCTGATACCGCTTAGCAGTGGTTTATAACAAAGAAATGAATTCAACAATGATTCAGAAAAACAAAGTCCTGATATGACAAGACAAAGAAGCAGCAGAGAGGAGGAAGACAGCAGCTCAGCGATGTCAAGGATCAGCCCATTGAGAAGAACGGCAGAGACCAGCACCGCTCCACCTGCAAGACGACTACGCGGCCAGCGGACCCGCTGGGCGGCTGCGCTGGGGCCGGAGAGCAGACTGATGCCCCACGGCACGTTTGTCCCAGCCCGCGTTGTGGGCGTTAGCAATAAAGATAATGACTGTGCACTCATATCCTGCATGCAGGATACAGCTCAGGAGACTCGGTGCTCGGTAAAAGATGCCCAAGGAGAAGTTAGCCAAAGGCTTGAGGGTTACAGTACGGTGCATTCAAATGTGATCAAGAGGTATCCGGTGGAGAGGTTACTCCACACCTAGGGCAGTTATAACCAGAAATTAAAAAATACACTGAATAAAGAAAGAGAGACCAAGACTCCAGGAATGCAGTCAGGTAATTTAATTGCTTGCACAACAGCATAAGGCACGGTCAGGACAACATTGCAGCGTTCATAAGAAACAAAAAGCCCCTCCGGGTGAACACCTTTAGGATTGATCCATCCTTATATGTTGTTACAAGCCATTTACCAGGAAAGTTTAACACATGAAACTGCTACTCCAAACTGTCCAGGTTACTGCTGCTCAAAGAACAAAGGGCAACAGTGACTCTTAATAACAAAAACAGAGAAGGGAGGAAAAAAGAATGACAGAAACACTGAACCTTTTTTTGTTTTTTTAAAACAATCCTCTGTGACTGTCTGAAAAAGTGAAGAGTAAATAGGAGAACGCTACATTGCGTAACAGGAATTTGATTTCCAGGCCTGATTGGGGGGGGTGGGGTGGTGGTGTTGTTTTGGGGTTGGGTTTTTTGTTGGTTTTTGTTGTTGGTGGTGTGTGTGGGTTTTTTGGGTTTTGGTTTGGTTTTTTTAAACCCTATTTAATTTGTAATATCCTGAATCAGGAAAGAAAAAACCCAAACCCCACACTTTAAAAGATGTACTTGTTATTTGTTACTTTCCTCTGAGCATTTTGCAGCTATCTTTCCTCTAGGTGGGTAATGAAACTCTTCCTTGCACCCATTCTCCTCCTTTAAAAGCAGAATTGAAATCAGTGGAATGCAGTAGTGCTAATCAAGCAAAGTGATGTAAGCAGTAAGATATTACAGAGGGGTTTTGTCAAGGTTCAGATTTACTCTATCAGAGATCCATTCCCCCCGCCCCTCACCATTCACACACATACACTCCTGTTTACAAAAGCCATCAGCTTTATATCCCTGTCATTAATCTTACAAGAGAGCAAAACGCCTGAAAGCTCAAGTATCCAGTAACACCAGCATGTGCAAAAAGGGGTAAGGAAAAGAGAAAAACAAACAGGAAGAAAAAGTTTAAATTATGTATTTCCAAGGGGTTCTTCTAAAAACCACGGGCAGAAGCTGGTTTGTAAAACCATGACAAATAAGTTGCCAGTATGCTCTAAAATGCAAAAAGAACTATGGCCACGGGCTGGGACTTTGTCTTAAGCACAAAACATGGTAAGTAGTTCCTTACTGGCCCTGCATCAGGTCTACACCAGGAAAGTAAGCATTTATTCTTGTAGCAGAATCTGGCTTTTGTGTGCAGAGCACTGCAATATCCACAGGGCTTCACTGAAAAGTTGGATAAAATCTCAACTTTCCCTGAATACTGGCCAAATGAATAACACTGAATAAAAAAAATGACCCATGCAGCACATTCGTAATTCCAAAGCTGATCCCTTGCCATCTCTTTCCCCTCAATTTGCTCAGCATCACTAAATTTTCCAATTTCTGGTGCAGTTTGAACAGTACTGTCATTCAAGTTCTAGAAATAGAAGTAACTGCATTGAACTGAGGTTTGCAATGCACATTATCACACCGCCACAGAGGAAGCTCTTAATTAATACTTCTACTTAGCACTTAAATTTATAGAAGATTAAAAGAAGTAACGAACATCTAATTCGCAACACATCTCTATGGAGAGGGTAAGTTTTTACTACCGCCAAAGCAAGGAAGTTAAATGATTCTCCCAAAGCAAAACAAAAGTTTGTGTCAGAGCCAACACCAGGAACAAGGAGTTCCTCACCCTCCTGAATGCTATCAAAGATCACAGCTATTTTGTGCTGGTTACTCTCTCATGTGGACTGCTTATTCTTCCCACTAAAGCCTTCCTTTGAAGAAAAACACATCTCCTCTGCGTTTGCAGATGGCAGCTGACTTCAGATGCTTCTGACCTTCGCAGGGAGCTGCTAGCGGGAGCAGAAGCACTGCGGCAAAGGCACGAAGAGGAAGCAATGGGCAAAGCATGGGAAGCCGTGCAAAGGTTATCACGGCCTTTGGGCGGACCGCTGCGTGTGTACTTACAGGTAAGCACAGGATCACAGCCCGTGGGTGGCACAGCTCCACGCATCTGCTGGCCATGAAGTCTTGAACAGAGACCGCTACAATCTACAGCCTGCAGTATCAGGTAAAGATTTTAAAGGTAAAGAGCAATTCCCATTTCTTCTGATGCTGCATATTTCTTCTACTCAAGTCTCATTTGTTCTGGGTTTGAAAAGTAGCCGACAATACAGAAATTACCAACATGTCCTGTGTGGGCTTCTTACCGCCTATTTACATCTCTCAGTCTTTACTAAGGCTTTGCAGACTTCCCCTTCCCCCACTTGAAAACTGAAGAAATACAGCACGGAGAGTTGATGTCAGGATCAGATTATGACAGCATGAGTCATTTATTAAGATTCCAGTAATGCTAAGCTCTTTAGCAGGTGCCTTGAGACCATATTTTTCAGAGTCTAATTTCAGATTCAGACATAAGTACGTTTTATTGGTTTACCATAAACTGTCTGTCCATTGTTGCTTCTCTAAAGCCGCCTTCTGCTTGTCCTGTACTCCACAGCTCTCTTCTCGGAGCCGTGTCCACTTCTACTCCCTGCTGGCATCCAAATAACAGCTTAGTTTAATTTAGATTTCTTTAAAGCTACAACTACATCTTGTTTTGTCAACTAGTAGCACGATCTAACTGTTTTTTCCTCTGTGTTTTTTACTTATCTCTGTTATTTACACCACTTCTGCTTATGCCACAGCTACAGGATATTGGCTACTGGCTATCAAACCCAGCTCCCTTTCCTCTATTTTTAGCCATTTTGTAATTATATGCCCCTACTTTCTCTTTCACCTCCTCCCTTTCCTGATAGCCAGTAGCACAGAAGATAGGTACTTCAGAGGCCCAGCCGTGCGTGTCCATCGCCTCCCCACCTCAGAAAGGACGTAACATGCTTAACGCCTAACACTTAATTAAGGCTTAATCACCAACCCGGTTCTGAACTTCCTAATAAACATCCCAATATTTCTGCCATCCACACTTGTCCAATTGCACTTGGACCTGCAAGGGGGATGGCAGTCCTCAGAAAAGGTACGCTCTTCTACTACCGACGTTTCAAAGGAAAGCAATGAATTCCCCAGCAGGGCACGAAACTGAACACAGACCATTTCTAATAACTGCAGCATAAATTATGCAGTTAAAATGTCTCCGACGGTACCCCTCTACCCTGGGGAAGCCTACAGCACTCAGCAAAGCAAGGTAAAAAAACCCTAACTATCCTGGTTCTTACTGCACAAGACAGGTAGGGCAAGCTTTACTTTGGTAAGAATGTGGTCATTCACTACTACTAATTTACCATGAATAGAAATCGGTAGAGAATAAGGGATGTAAGTGGAATCTGAGGCCAGAAGTTGTTTCTGAAGGTATCGCATCCAAGCCCTTTCCCAGTTACCTTTTGTGGAGCAAATGTGGCTTTTTGCATGATTTTTATAACTACTCCAAATTTCAAATCCAGTTTTTCTAAGCAGTTCCGGCCCTTTTATTTATTTGCCCAAATCTGTGTCAGACTCATCTAAATTTATTTGTGCTTGAGCCTTAAGGGAACTGGGGGTGGAGAAAACAGACACAGTAAGAAGCTCAGCCTCTCAAAAGGAGCGTGCCTTTTTGAAAAGTCGTTTATCATATGAGCTCGTCATTTCTTCCCAGAATCTTGTGTTTAACTTCAATCATGAAATCCAAAACCCAACACACTTTCATCCAACCGAACCAGCAACTTCCTCTCTCCAAGGAGATTCCAGGCATACTGATGGGTCTGTGTATTTGTGTGTTCAGAGGAGTTTCATAAGGAGAAAATGGATGGATGGAAATGCCAAAGAGATTCAGATAATCTTCCATAACACAGAATGCATTCAAAACAAAAGTATTTCAAGAAAGACTGAATAACTGAAGCACATGGTCCTGCTAGCAATCAAAAAAGAAAAAAAAAAACGCTGCTGTAAAACTCCGTTATTCTGTTAGCTTCCATACACTGATTTACATTTAATATCTAGCTTCAACACGCACTTTCTTGATACTGTAGGGAAAAAGATCTTCATAGTTTTACTAAAGTCAGGAGAGCTTTGCAAATTAGCATCAGCTGTTGATATAGCCCAAATAAAACCAGAGTAAAAGAACCAAGAAGAGAATATGCTGCTTGATCGCCGAAAAAGAAAAGAAACTAATGTACTGCACAATGTTTAAATAGAAGTCTCACACCAGGAACTGTTGCCCCAAATATATATGCCTGCTAACAAAAGCAAAAGCAATTACCGTAGTGAGTGTTGAAAAATGACAGTTTTAAGACCTTGGACTCTCCTTCACAATATATACAATTGCCAGTGCCTTCAACAGAAACTTCACATAAA